ATCAATCAATCAATCAATCAATCAATCAATCAATCAATCAATCAATCCATCAATCCATCCATCCATCCATCCATCCATCATCTTCCGCTTGTTCCGAAGTCGGGACGCAGGGGCAGCAACTTGAGCAGGGAAGCCCAGATATCTCTTTCCACAGCCACCTCTTCCAGCTCTTCTGGGAGGATTTCAAGGCGTTCCCAGGCCAACCGAGAGACACAGTCTCTCCAGCGTGTACTGGGTTTTCTCTGGGGTCTCATCCCAGTCGGACATGCCTGAAGCACCTCCCTAGGGAGGCATCCAAGGGACATCCTTAGCAGATGCCCGAACCACCTCAACTGGCTCCTCTCGATGTGGAGGAGCAGTGGTTCTACTCCGAGACTCTCCCGGATAACCAAACTTCTCACCCTATCTCTAAGGGAGAGTCCAGCTACCCTGCAGAGGAAACTCATTTCAACCGCCTGTATCCGCGATCTCATTCTTTCGGTCACTACCCAGAGCTTGTGACCATAGGTGAGGGTAGGAATGTAGACAGACCGGTAAACAGAGTTTTGCCTTACAGCTCAGCTATCTCTTCACCACAACAGACTGGTACAGAGTCCGCAATACTGCAGACGCTGCACCAATCCGTCTGTCAATCTCAGGCTCCATTCTTCCCTCATTCGTGAACAAAACCCTGAGATACTTGAACTCCTCCACTTGAGGCAGAATCTCACCCTCGATCTGGAGAGAGCAATCCAACCTTTTCCACTTGAGGACCATGGCCTCAGATTTGGAGGTGCTAATTCTCATCCCAGCTGCTTCACACTCGGCTGCAAACCGCTGCAGTGAGAGCTGAAGATCACGGCACGATGATGCCAACAGAACCACATCATCTGCAAAGAGCAGAGATAGAATCCTGAGGCCACCGAACCAAAAACTCTCCGCCCACTGGTTGCACCGAGAAATTCTGTCTATAAAAGTTATGAACTGAATCGGTGACAACGGGCAGCCCTGGCGGAGTCCAACTCCCACCCTGATGGGGTCCGACTTATTGTCGGCAATGCGAACCAAGCTCTCGCACCGCTTGTATAGGGACTGAACAGCCCGTAGCAAGGGGACCCCAATTCCATACTCACGGAGCACATCCCACAGTGTACTCCGAGGAACACGGTCGAATGCCTTCTCTAAATCCAAAAAACACATGTAGACTGGATGAGCAAACTCCCATGACCCCTTGAGGACCCTAGTGAGGGTAAAGAGCTGGTCCAGTGTTCCACAGCCAGAAAGGAACCCACATTGTTCCTCCTGGATCTGAGGTTCAACCAACAATCGGACTCCCTTCTCAAGTACCGCTGAATAGACCTTACCAGGGAGGCCGAAGAGAGTGATGCCCCTATAATTGGAGCACACCCTCCGGCCCCCCTTTTTGAAGAAGGGAACCACTATCCCAGTCTGCCAATCCAGTGGCACTGTCTCCCATGTCCACGCGACGTTGCAAAGGCGTGTCAACCAATACAGCCCCACAACATCCAGAACCTTAAGGAAATCAGAGTGAATCTCATCCACTCTTGGAGCCCTACCGCCTCGGAGCTTTTTAACTACCCCGGCAACGTCAGCCACAGTTATGGATGGATCAACCCCAAAGTCCCCTGACTCAGCTTCCTCTATGGAAGACATGCTGATGGGATTGAGAAGTTCATAGAAGTATTCCTTCCACATCCCGACAACATCACTGGTTGAGGTCAACAGCAGCCCACCGTCACTGAATACAGTGTTAATAAAGTGCTGCTTTCCCCTCTTCAGCCGTCAGATGGTTTGCCAGAATCTCCTCGGAGCCGACCGAGAGTCATTATCCAAGGTCTCACCGAACTCCTCCCACATCTGAGCTTTTGCCTCAGAAACAGCCAAGGCTGCGAATCGCTTGGCCCTCCAGTACTCCTCAGCTGCTTCCGAAGTCCCACTGGCCAACAAGGCCCGATAGGACTCCTTCATCTTGACAGCCTCCCTAACCCGGGGTGTCCACCACTGAGTTTGTGGATGGCCACCACGAGAAGCAACAACAACCTTCCGGCCACAGCTCAAGGCAGCCACCTCAACAAGTGAGGTGCGGAACACGGCCCACTCAGACTCAATGTCCCCCATCTCAGCTGGGATGCAGTTAAAGCTCTCCCAGAGGTGCAAGTTGAAGATCTCTCCGACGGGTTCTTCTACCAGGCGTTCCCAACAAACCCTCACTACATGTTTGGGTCTACCAGGTCTGTCCAGCATTTTCTCCTGCCATCTGATCCAACTCACTACCAGGTGGTGATCAGTTGACAGCTCAGCTCCTCTCTTCACCCGAGTGTCCAAAACAAACGGCCGCAAATCAGATGACACGACTATGAAGTCTATCATTGATCAACGACCTAGGGCGTCCTGGTGCCAAGTGCACTTATGGACACCCTTATGTTTGAACATGGTGTTTGTGATGGACAAACTAACTATACTAGCACAGAAGTCCAACAATAGAACACCGTTTGGGTTCAGATCAGAGAGGCCGTTCCTCCCAATCATGCCCCTCCAGGTCACATCGTCATTACCCACGTAGGCATTGAAGTGCCCCCAGCAGAATAAAGGAGTTCCCAGCTGGCGCACCTTCCAGCACCCCTGCCAAGGACTCCAAGAAGGCTGGATACTCTGAACTGCCGTTCGGTGCATAGGCACAGACAACAGTCAGAGCCCGTCCCCCCACCCAAAGGCGAATGGAAGCCACCCTCTCATCTACTGGGGAAATCTCCAACACACAGGCACCAAGTCGGGGGGGCTACAAGTAGACCCACACCATACTTCTCACCATGGGCAACTCCAGAGTGGAATAAGGTCCAGCCCCTCTCAAGAAGATCAGTACCAGAGCCCATGCTGTGTGTTGAGGTGAGCCCAACTATATCTAGTCGGTACTTCTCAACCTCATGCACAAGCTCAGGCTCCTTCCCCACCAGAGAGGTCACGTTCCATGTCCCAAGAGCCAGCTTTGGTAAGCCAGGGTCAGAGCGCCGAGGTCCCTGTCTTCGGCCACTGCCCATGGCATCACGCACCTGACTTTTATGGCCCTTCCTGCAGGTGGTGGGTCCATTATTCAATTCAATTCAAAAATACTTTATTAATCCCAGAGGGAAATTATTTGTTGTAGTAACTCGTTATCCTCATTTCATTAGGAGATGTTATAGATACTGATGGCTGTCGACAGGAAGGATCTCTTGTAAAGGTCCATCCCACAGTGGATCCTAAGAAACTGGCTGCAGATGCCGTCCGATCCGTCCATCTAGACTCGGCTGGCCTCTCGGTTCCCCCG